ACAAATTGATAGTGCTCCCTCTCTCCCTCCTCCTCAAATCAATAAATTAAAAATTAAAAACAATCACCTGCACAAGAATTACCTTGGAAATTTTTAAAAATATCAATTTATATGACTTATATTTCATAAGGTCTGGAAATTTAACAAACACCCTAGGTAGATCTATCATACATACATTTTGAGAAAAACTGCTCTAATCTCTTCCCACCCCTGTTTTCTTCTACATGAACCTTCCTAATGAATAGTTCCAAACATGACCTTGATCATGGAACTTCCCTAAATCACAGCTCCTCAATGTCTCTCCCATAACCAAGCAAATAAAGTTTCCCAGGACTGGACTTCACGATCCTCCAATAAATGTTGTCCAAGATAAATTTCCAGCCTAATCTTTACCCCCCTTCTTTCACCCCGCTACAGCTGAACTATGCTACTTGCCACCCCTAAAACATACCCACGGTCCTCATGTCTCTGACTCTTGGCCTAACCTTTCAAACATCTAAAAAAGGTCTCTCTCTCTTTTCATTTTCACCTGTCAAACAAACTCCTACAAATCCTTCAGTGGCCCCTCCTGGGTAAAACCTTCTCTCATTCCTTTTTTATTTTTCCTTTTGTCTTTCCACTCCCTGCCCTCCAGGCTTAACGGGACCTCTCAGTCTTAGAAGTCTTCCAGCAGGTTTTACCTTTAGCTACTTACTTATCACATAGTTAAAATCATACACCATTTTCTTTTTTTCTTTTCTACTTACAAATATCATGAGGAGAGGAAGTACATCATATGAAAAGACAGATTTATGGAATAGAAATGGAGATGGTTCATCTAGTGTGTGTCCTTTAACAAATTTCACTTTTCTGAGTTGCATCTCTGTCTGTTAAGTGGAATAATGTCACTTACATTATAAGATTTTGTATATCCTGCCCTGGCCGATTTGGCTCATCAGTGAAAGCATCTGCCTGAGGACCAAAGGGGTCATTGGTTGATTCCCGATCAAGGGCATGTACCTGGGTTGCAGGTTCAATCACCGGCCCCAGGTGGGGTCATGCAGGAAGCAACCAACTGATGTGTCTCTCTCACATCAGCATTTCTGTCTCTCTCTCTCCCTCCTCCTCTTCCATTCTATCTAAAAGTCAATGAAAAAATATCCCCGGGTGAGGGTTAACGATAAATAAATAAATACTCTTAAAATATTGTGAATATCTTATAAGTGGTATAAGTTGAGTGTCTTGTCAAAAGTCAACCCATGTGAAATTGCCTGTATTCAATTATTTTCACCTACAAAAATGGAAATTTTATTATACCCAGTAGTCCTCTGTATTTTAATACACTTTCCTTTAAAATACTGTGTTTCCTACTATGCTTTGCATCCACTTCACATAGCAGCCCCTTGCCCCTTCAAAATGTATATATGTATATTTGCAAATACTATGAATATAATAAAGTTATCACTATTGTCTTGAAGAGATGGAGAGAACTGCACCAGCACCAAGTAGGGAAACTATTCATCTGCCCTGGGGCTTACCCTTGCTTGTTCCTTTTTAGAGCAGGTGAACAAACAGCATTTTAAACAGTAAGCTAAAGCAAGTTCTTTTCTAATGGAGAGTTCTGTTAAATAAAGGTCAGCAAGAAAAGTAACAGCACTCATTGTCTCCTATTTATGGTCCATCTGGGCACCACTCAAACTTGCTCAGATTTCTCTCCTGAGCATTACCTTACCCTGAGTTTATCCAAATCACATTACCCCACTCAGGCTGGGATTCCTCGTCATTAATCAGAATAGCAATGATATTCCCCACTACGACTCCTAAGAAGATGATGCACAGTGCGTGTCTGCAGCTATTTTTCTCTACCCCTGCAACACCATGAAAAAACCTCTTGACTAATTAACCCAAAGGAAACTAAGCTTGAGAAGGTCACTGTTATATTGGTTATAAAGGTAAATGAGCTAGGAAGGAGTTGATGTTGCTTTAATGTTCTTACTAAGTGTTAAGTCTTCAGACTTATCAGCCCAGGAAAGAGTCTTTGTGGAATGCTCCCTTTGTTTAAAAGAAAAAACGTCGGTGCCAACAAGGCATTATGCTAAAGGAGGTTCTCAAGGAGATTACAAATTACTCAGGAATCATGTCAACTTTCAGGAGTTAGGAGTGAGATAAATGCCATAAGAAAGATACACAATGCTTCGGGTATTTTAATGGATAGAGAAAGATTACAGCTAGAAACCAAGAAAAGGACAAATCTCCAAGAAGCACATGTATTTAACGATTACAATTTCTCCTCCCCTCCCCTCCCCTTCTCTCGCTCTCTCCCTCCACTTATGTGGCAGTTATGTTACACTGAGCAAGTTAATTAACTTCTTTGTGCCTCAGTCTCCTCCTCCATAAAATGGGGCCATAATACTTGTCCCCCAGGGGTTTCATGTAAATTCAGTGAAATCATGGATGCCAGGTGCCTGGCACAGTGAAGCGTGTGGCAGCCTCTCAAGGAATGGCACCTGCTGTTGTTACTAAGGTGGGTAATCCTGTCCAATGTTACAGAGAGTTCAAAGAGAAAGGCCTTCTCATTGTGTGCTTTTGGATTTTACTCATCTGATGGCAAAATGGGAGATCATTTTTCAAAACAAGGTTAAACATGAAAATTAGGTTCAATGGATTGAAAGATGGCGCAGATGGTGAGGAAGCAGGGGTAACGCAGACTCCTGAGGCTGGCTGAGAGGGTCGTTTGGTGGTAGGTGAAATGGTATCTTGCCTTATTTTGTGCATTACACATGGTGTGGTGGGCATAATCAGCCCTGCTTTTAGACACCGACCCTGAGGTTCAAAGTCACTGAAAGCACCTGCCCAAGTCCTATAGCAAGTGCATAATGGCAGACCCAGCCTCGCAGCTAGTTCCTCTGACTTGAAAGCCCAGGCCACACTGCCTCGTGTAGCTGTGAACCAGTCACCTCTGCCTCGGAGCCTGCTTCGCCAAGACACGGATATTCCCAGAGAGAATAGCTGTTCATTTTTGATATGGTCACTGTTAACAAGACTTTCTACAAGGATACGCACCATTTATTGAGCACTTCTTGATGACAGGAACTTTGAACAACAATATCAATGTTGCTTTGTAAGTGCAAGGCATTGTGCTAAACACTTGATATGCATTGTTTCAATTACAGCTCAAAACAGCCCCAGGAAATGGGTGCTTGTATTATATCTCTTTTACATTTGAGAAAACTGGGGCTCAGAAAGAGTGACCAGCTTGCCCACGGAAAGTAATACAACTTGTAGGTAGGGTTCAAGCTGGAATTAGCCCAACTCCCAAGTGTTCAAGCATTGCCTTGGACACCTGCTGGCCATTTGACACCTTTTCTGCCCAGGTGCCAATGTGCACAGGCCCCAGGTGTGCAGGCCTGCACCGTGAGGCCTGCCCAGAGCTCCAGGAAACAGAGGAGAGCACACAGCTCGTGCACAGAGATCTTATGGGGCAGCCGACCAGACAATCTGCTTTCCTGCGGATTAACGTCTTTCTCTGCTCTCTCCTTACCCACTAAGGAAAGCCCTGATGCACGGTGCTGGCCCTCATCCAGACGCTGACCAAGGTTCCCAGACATGATTCTCAATAGTAACTGTGAAAGAATGAATGAAAAGCGCCCCCACCACAAGCTTCCGTGCTGAGAAGTTGTGAAAGAGAAAGGAGAAGGCAAATAAGCAAAATGTTTTGTTAACAACTTTAACAAACTTTTCCTTAATGTAGCATTAAATTGTTTTTCTATTTTTCTGCAGTCTTATCTTTTAAATACAAAATCGAAAAATGATTCAATTCTTCTGCCACCCATTTCTAAGATAATTCAGGTTGATAACCCCTTTCAGATAAAATATAAATTATGTTCCAATTCTCCTCACCGAATACTTTCCATTACTCAGTGTGACCTATTGGTGGTATCATAACCTTTATTTCCTTCTCATCCCATTTTCCCCAAATCAATGTAGCATATGAGCTACTTTCCTATAAAATCGTCTTTCCTCCATGTAGGTAGAATTTGGACCATCGGCTCCTCCATTTCCATACATTTTGTAGTGTTTTTAGTAATTGGTTCAACTCAAGCAAACATAATAATTATGTTTTTGCTTTTGCTTTTCTTTAAAGTATAAATATTTAAACATTTTATTACCCTAAAATTACTATAATTTGTATTCAAAAGCAATGAAATAATTTTTTACACATTTTAAGCCTTAACAGTCTGCTAGATTTCTGAATAAATGCCACAGTGAATTCTGACAGCACCCTTAATGGCGCTTATATTTCTTCCTTCTTTGCTAGGTAGTGCAGAGTTTGATGTTATCCATATTTCAAAGGAATAATAAGAGCTAAGGGTTTCTTACTGGTAGTTCTTTAAAAAAGAGAAGCAGAAAAAAAAAAACTGTTATCTTGGCTGGAATTTTATCACTGCTTGTCAACAAGCTTCTTCTAAAATGCTATTGAATTAATTTATATTCACAAAAGCAAATCAATTTTAATAAAACATTGAAATGAGGTTCAAACTGAACCTTCACCCAAAACTTGAACTTCGAAATTGCTGTTCATCTAGAGTCAGTTAAGATTTATGACAGATACATAAAATGTGAGGAAGGAAACAGACTTTCTCTATTTTCCTACCTAGGTGCCATCTGGCACCATGCTAAGAGAAAAAATCTGGTTTGGGGCTAGTCTTGGTCTGGATGTATTTTTACAAGATTTGATGGGGGAAAAAACTATGAAACATTAAATAGATCTTGCCCAACATAGGCTTTTGAGATTACCTGTTGAAACAAAATAAAAAAAAAATAAAAATAGATACATGGATAAGCCACTTGAACGCAAGAAATGATGGAGACGGTGACCCAGAGACAGAAAGGGGCATTTTGTGGCTGAGCACAAAAACGTCACCCAGGGCTAAGCATTCTCTGATCAGCTCCAGAGATTCTTTTTTTTTACACAGCCAATTATTTGATATAAAAAATTTTTAAGAGTTCATGACTAATTATTACAAAAAACAAAAACCCAAACACACATTTAATCTAGGAGTGATTTCTCAGGCCTCATCTTGCCTTTCTATAGAAACAGAACTTTCTATTTCAGAAGGGACACCGATAAGAGGACCAGGAGCCTCTAGTTCCAAGTGTGGTGGTTTCCCCTGCTCCTAACTTACAGTTGGATTACCTTTTATTTGACTCTTTTGTTCTTTCAACACCAAAGAGATAAGTGGGCTGGAGCAACGACGTCTTCATCTCCATTTTCATGCAGAAGCTCCTGTGTCCCACAGGAGCCATCCTTACCCTTGATTGGCAGCCATTCCATATCCTCTGTTTTCTTCTCCTTCCTTCTTCTCTTACAGAAGAGTTCTTTTTATTCTTTAACTGCAAAGAAAATTTTATTTTCTATATCACTAGCCATAAGTGTTTGTCATTAGTTGTCATATGAATGCTGCCTGGTGTCATTATCCAAGTGACATGACCATTTTATGTTTACAATTCACTTGCGTATTTACAGAATGTCCATGATTTACATAAGTAGATCCATGAGGATACTGTCAGAGGAGTCCTCGTCATGCTTCTTCGTCGTGTGGCACGACTATGTTGGCACTGCTTTCTTAGCGCCGGCTGCATCTACATGTTCAGCATTTTCTTCAAATATAACACAGGTCCCGAGAGTGTCTTCATTCTCTCCGGCGAAGACATAGCTGTCCACTTGCAGAATGGGCCTCTCAGTATCAAGTCCCCAAATCTTGCATTAATTTTCACAATTTGAGAGAAAGTCTAAATCAATAGTAAGTCCTGACAATTCTACCAGAACAACTGCTCTTCCTCCTCCTCCTCGTACCCCGGACTCCACTCCCTGGCTGCTGCCCTGACCCCACACCTCCACAGATTGTAAATGGTACTAGGGGATTGTTTCAACTGTTTTTCCCAAAAATGAAACCTTGAGAGGGAATAAAGGTAGACAGAAAAGAAAGAGTAGAGGACTGGAAGAAATCATTGAAAAGGAATATGCCAGAGCCAAAATGTTTTATCAAAAAACTGTTAAAATTGATCACTAACATTTCTCGATTGCTTATTTATGAGTTGGGCACTGTGCTGGTATCTTCTCCTCATGACAAACCTGTGACTAGGTTTTCCTATCATCTCTACTCTAATAAAAATTCAAACTTGAAATATTTATCAAAGTCAAATCCTGAAACTATAATTGTTAACCAAAACACCACACCTATTCCTCATCGGGTGTTTTAGAGTAGACCTTAAAGTTATAGTGAGATTCATAGAGTATATAAACATTTATGTTTAAAGAAAAATTTTTTTTCTTATCAGAATCACCTAGAACTCTATTAGAAAAGGTAATTCCTTTCTTTTTCTCTGATGAAGAACAAATCCCTAACTGCAAATCAACTTAATTCAGTTCTTTTTAAACAAGCATCTACTGATCCCCTTTCAAGAGACAGAACTTGAGCTTTCGATTTTTCTTAAAAATAAAGAACTCAAATGTACACTATTTCTATGAAATAAGTATACTTCACATTCAGAGTCAGTAGCCTCGTAAGATACTAACATTGATAAAAAGGTAAGAAGACATGCTCCCATGCCCTCAAATTTCATGCAAACCAGCACTGATTACTATTCAGAAGAAAGTACCGGTGGGTTACCCAAAGCATATGGGTGTTGTGTAAAGAACATAGGTCCCTTCCCTCTGCAGTGACTTTGTCATAGACAGGAGTTGTCTAGGGAGGACCTCATGAGGCTGTGGAACAAATCCTTCTTCAGCAGTTAGCTGATAAGAACACATGACCTAGTCCAAGGTTCTTGTCATTTTAACTGGGATTTCATAAAGACAGTGCCTTCAGGATGAAAAGGGAAATGGTGTAGAGGCTGGGCTGGCAGGCCAGACGAGCGGGTGCATGAGAAAGGCGTTCTCACACACTTTAACTGAAAGCCCCCCACACTACCTGCTGCTCAGGTCGACTCTACAATTGGAAAACTACAAGAACAATGAGAGTAAAAAGAAAGAAAAAAAAAAACAGAACATTTTGCTACTTTTCAGGAATAAAATAGGTCTTCACTGTCCACAAAACTTTCCCTAGCAAAGGGTCTTCTTCCCTGGTCCATCAACTCCTGATGTGTGAGCAGAGGGTATGATTTAATTGAATGGGCTCCATGGTATTAAGAGCATGAGATTTTTATCTGGCTTTGAGCCCTGCTCTTCCAATACTAGCTGTGTCGCATTTAATAAGTCATTTAATGTTTTCAGTGTCAGTTTCCTCATCTATAAAATGGATTCTTGCATTTCTGACCATGCAGGTATGTTGGGAGTTTTGATGAAGTGATGCATATAAAATATGTGTTGGGATGATAGGTGATCAATTCTAACTAATGGCTACAAGTGCATCGTTTATGTTAACATAACCCTGTGCACCATTATTCTTTATAGCTCTTCACAATTTCTGTTGTATTATAGCTGTTTGTGTATGTTTACTCAGATAGGTTGCAAGTCTCCTGCTCTTAATACTAACTCTATCCAAAAATAGAATAAAAGATATGGTCTCTGACATCAAGGGGTTAACACTTAAATAATGAAACCTATATGTGTTATGCTGTATTAAACAGTAGAATGTGATATATCTCATACTAGACCTATGAAGTGCTTTGGGACCACCAAAGAGGGAGTTTGGAATAGCTATGGTATAGAATACCATAGAAAACTGGGTAATCAATCTGTGGCTTTAAAAAAAAAAAAGTTGCCCTGGCCGGTTTGGTTCAGCGGTTAGAGCGCCGGCCTGCGGTCCTGAGAGACCCGGGTTTGGTTCCCGCTAGGGGCGCGTACCTCGGTTGCAGTTTGTCCCCGGCCCTGGTCGGTTGTGTGGGTGGCAGCCACTCGATGTGTCCCTTTCACATCGATGTTTCTCTCTCTCTCTCTGTTCCTCTCTCTCCCTCCCACTCTACCTGAACAAAAAAAATGGAAAAATGTCCTCGGGTGAGGATAAAAAAAATAAAAATAAAATGTTTGAATAAGAATTAGAAGTGAGAAGGAGGAAATAGATGTCTTAAAAATTACAAAATTGAAATAGATACAACTTGGAGATTCATGGAATATAGAAAGTAAAGAAGAGTCCTGGCCAGTGTGGCTCAGTTGATTGAGCATCATCTCACGCACCAAAGATCACTGGTTCAATTCCTGGTCAGGGTACAAGCCCAGGTTGCAGACTCGATGCAGGAGGCAGCCAATTGCTATTTCTCTTTTATCAATGTTTTTTTCTTTCCCTCTCTCCCTTCCTCTCTCTTTCTAAAAATCAATAAAAATATATTTTTAAAAAGAAAGTAAAGAAGAGATGGAAAATGACAAAAGCCCAGGGGTTTCAAGCCCAGAAAACTGTGGAGACTGTGATGATCAGTAGTCAGTGGGACATCACAGAGGAGCGAGACTGTTGGGTGAGCATGAGCTCTGTTTGCAATGTGGTGAGTTGGAGGTGAAGGAAGGGCATCCAGGTGAGGATGTCTCCTGTAAGATTTCAGAGCCATTTTCATGGATGTGATTGGTTTAAACTTAGGCAATCACTTTGGAGGAGAGAACAAATGGAGAATTTAAGGACATCTAGGATAAAAGTGTGAGAGGCCATCTACATTTTGGGGACTCAGAGAGATGTAATTTTAAATAAACTTTTGGAGACCTGGGAAAGAAACCCAGAGAATCTCGTCAAAGAAGCCGAGGAAAGAGAATTTTACAGTGGCAACAGTAATCATACATGTCAGATCCTGCAGAGAGCCTGGGGATGATGAAGACAGAGGGACTGTGTTGGCCGTGCAATGACTTCAAAGAAAGTCATTTCAGGATTGACCGGAAGCAGCAAGTAAAGTGGGCGGGAGGACAATGCATGAAATCATAGCTTGAGGGACAATGGAAGGTGTTTTATTAAGATAACAGAAGGCTGAGCACATTTGTAGATTCATGAGAAGGAGCCAGTAAGATGGATTACAACTGAAGAGTAAACAAAGGTTAATTAATATTTCAAGACCCTGGAGCACTGGTTATCGAACCTTGCTGAACATAGACTTAGCTAGGACCCTTACAGTAATGCTAATGTCTATGCCTGGTCTGCAGAGATCCTGGCTGAATTGTTTTGGGGAGGGAGGGCACCTGTATTATTTATTAGTTCTCCCAGGTGATTCTACTATGCATCCAGGTATGAGAACAACCAACTAGAAGAATTGGGCATTGGATTAAGGCTACAATAGAGAGCTGCTCTTGGACAAGGGCTCTCTTCTTCCTCTAAAATCGGAAAGAATGAATTCAGAGCAGAAACATTTTGAAGGAAGAACATTGAAACAACTCATGACAGATGGTTTGTCTGAGAAACTAGAAGGTGAGATGCTTAGAGTAAGGGAGCAGGAATAAAGGTGAGTCATGAAAAAGAAAAAAAAAAAAAACCAAAAAAACAACTTATAATGTCCCAATTACCAGGATTCCACCAGGGATAAAGAAAGTAATTGTCCATTTACTGCTTCATTCTCTCTACGCTAGTCGGTTGGTCACTCCCTGCCACAGAAAAGGCATTACTGTCTTTCTTGTTCCTCTTAGAAAAAGAAGAATATTTATAAACAGGGAAGGTCTAAAGGAAGGTTAAAGTTATAGAGCCTTAGGGAAGACTTTAAGCAGGGGTAGCAAGAGAGAAAATCTTAGCTGCAGACTCAGATCTCTGTGAAGTCACTTAGAACTTGTCCATGCAAGTCCTGGCCAGTCTGGCTCAGCGTTTGGAGCATCAACCTGTGGACCAGAGAGTCCCGGGTTCGGTTCCTGCTAGGGGCACGTATCAAAAGAGAAAAACAAAGAACTTGTCCATGAGAGCATCCTGCAGCCCACCTTCCCCAACACCTCCCATTCAAATAATAAGTAAACTGGGGTTCAGAGAGAGTCTGTGATTCAACCACATTAAACAGCAAGTGAGCTCCACCAAGACACCTGGAAGTTCAGTCTCCTGGTTCCCACACCAGCTTGCCGGCCCTGTCCACACCCTGTCTCATGACCTCTGTGGCTGATTCCCAGCCAGCGAAATGGCTGCAGCTCCTTTGTGGGGATGAATAAGAAAATCTGTAAATTGTTTTTAGCTCGTTGCAAGAGAGAAAAAAAGGTTCTGTTTCTTCTTTATTGCCATTGTTACGGGAACCAGATTGAATTGCTGCATCTCTTTAGAGTTTATGACTAGTGTGGAGTTTCCCATTTTAACCCAAGCCAATTTTAAATTGCCCATAGATACGCAGATAACTGCAATAATTCAGTTGCTACATTCAGTTCTTTGTTTTAAATACAACCAAAGGGAAAGAGAAAAACTTGCTGGCCTAGAGAAGCAGCTAAGCAGAACCTACCGGACTGTAAAAAGGCTATTTCAGGTAATTAAGAAGGAGCGGTGAGTGGCGATGGGGTCAGGGGGTCCCCCGCGCACGTGGCCGCAGCACGTGTGCAGGGGCTTGAACCGCTGGCCTGGGGTTTTCATCTGTCAAGTGAGATGAATGCGCTAGATCACCTCTCGGTCCCTTCCGTTTCTGTCCGTTTTCTCATTTCTGCCATCAGCCCCACGAGCGTGTTCAGAAGGAGTTTAAAACAAACTGCATAGAATATCTCATGGATCATATTTGCAGTTTTTTAAAACTATAAATAAATCTATGTCTCCACTTGTCGGCTCTCTGATCCGTACCGTAGAGAAGGGCCGGAGTACATACTCTCCCGCTCAGCTCTGCGCTTCGGGGCTCTGCGCTACCTTTGGATACTTGTACCAGGCACGAGGCTGGTTGCTATTTACCTTGCATGGTTGAATGCTCCGTCCCCACGCCCCACACAGCCAGAGAGGCCTTGGTACAATGTCCCTGGGCATCTTTCTCTTTTCCTTCTTTTCTTTTACCCTCTCCAACTGGGCTTGCACTCCTGGGTCACACAGGAGCCCTGCGGGCATGTTGGAAAGACCCGGGAGCACAGCGCAGGGTGATGTGACAGGGTGACATGCACGGTAGGTAAGCTAGAACCTCCCAGAGAACTGCGCTTGTTTTGCCTTCATCTTCTTGAATTGATAAAGGAATTGGTGATGATTGTTATGCAGAAATAAGCTACAGTTAAAGAGACAGTACAGGTTACAATGTTTCAG